TTAGAGCTCTGTCAGGACTGACATGAAGCAGAGGATGAGGTGACGGATTTAGGGCGCATTGAGGGGAAGGCTGCGGTAGGTCTTGAGGCTGTCAGGCTGGCGGGGTGACTACAAGTCTCAGCCTCACCTGGAAGACCTCATATAAACTGGCAGAGGTGTTTTCTATATTTCATCCGGGGATATGAAGAGACTAACCTTCGCTTCAGGGCTCCTTGCTGTACTCTACAGTGACCGCTGAGACTTGTAGTTCCACACCGCACCAGGGTCTCATATTCCTTCTACATCAGATTATAACAACCAAGACACCAAATAATTCGCAAATTAAAAAATATATATATCCTGATGACCTTTTGGGGCATCTCACATACAACAATGTGTTGGGGTAAAGGAGATTTATACCCGCCGCCTCTCTAAGACTCAATAACTACCAATAAAGGGGAAATTCAGAATTTCACATGTCGGAAAATTTGCACAAATTTGCACGCAAATTCATAACCGCTCACACGATGGAATCATCATTCAGAGAAGGGCAGGGAAGTGATTGCTTATTTAGGTTTCTAGTTTTTCTTTTCTTCCTTTAGTTTACATTTAAAGCATTTACAATAACAGTTAAAACAAATAATTATACATCTTAATTTTATGGAAGCCATAAGTAAAATTACTATTATTATTGTTGCAGTAAATGTAATTAAGGATTCATTCGGATAAATTGTATCAGTCTTTGAGGTATGTGGGTTTTTTTTTATTTCTGTCATATTTAATAATTAAAAAGTGTATATAAATATATCATGTTTGCATATAATAACTGTAAACATTATGTACAGTCAACACAGATGACAAGTGGTAAAAAAAAAATGCACCCGAATTTGGATTTCTTAATATATTCGAAAAGTCTTTTCACAAAATAAAGTAAAACCAAGTTTAAAAAAAAAATGACAATGGCATAAAAATGTTATTTTTGATTTTTCTAATCATTTTATGTACAGACACAAAGGACCTTGTACAGTGCACCAAACAAAAAAAAAAAAATGTCCATCCAAAATAAAAAGAGGCATACAACAGACCTTCATCCTCATTTTATATAAAAGATATTGTAGTTTATTTGTTCTTCTTTTTAATACAGAGCTGAACTTGTTACTATTTTACAGTGACCCAAAACAAAAATTCACAAGGCAAATATTGCCAACAAAAAAAAAACACCATTTTAACACTGATAAACTGACTCAAGCTGGTGTCTTTTTATTTTTAATTTTTTTTTTTTTATTGAATAAAAGATAAATAAATAGTGTCCTAATAGAAAAAAAAAAGTGCCATATTAGCTCTGCAACTTCAAAATCTGGGCCTGGAGTCCGCTCTTGTTGGCCAGAAGGATATATCTGTGTCAGCCTGGTCATTAGTGAAGCTATAAATTGAAGTCAAATAGAAAAAAAAATGTATATATATATTAGTTTACAAATCCCTCTCTCAGCAAAAATGAAAGGGACAAAAATAAAAAAAAACCTTTCTGACAAAAAAAATAATAATACAAAAAATGAAAAAATAAGAAAATAAAAACAAAATCCCTTTTTGGTGGGGTAAATGCATGTTTTATCATGGCATGACTGGAGATATAAATCGGTTATGTCTCTGTGAATCATGAAGTATCCCTTTTTAATGCGTTTTAGTTTCACTTTGAAAGATTTATCTTCCATTGGGATGGAAAAAAAAACAAAAAAAGAATATCGGGAACAAAATGTACAGTGAAGGGACAGTGACGGTGAGCAGCTTGTGGCTGCCATCAGAGGCTTCCCATGGCTGGATGTGAAGGGTGTCTGCTGCAGAGCGGCCCACATGCAGAGTCCGGGGTGAGGGGGCCCATTTCTGGCCTGCTGCTGTCAGGGATCACATCACACACGGCTTGATGTCCTGATAACTGACTTGCTGGTGGTAATAAGATCCGCTGCCTGCGTGCATGGAGGAGGAGGCCATGGCATTGAACGAGAAGACAAACTCTTTTCTGTCATTCATGCTGGGCGACTGGGAGTGATACCTGGGGATACCTGTGAAGAGAAAACTGGCATCATTATACTGGAAGAGGACATGGGCAGCACACCTGTCAAGCTGTGGGGGAGGGTCGGCATGCCATTGAATGTTGAGACTTGTAGTTCATCTCAACTGCTCCTCTGCTTTTTGAAACAGTAAATAAACTGCAATCATTACATTATAA